TAGAATGAAGCTCAAATTCACTTAATAATGTTGCAAGTCTAATCGTATTTGGGATGCCTAAAATCTTGCACAGAAAGAGGGCAGCTACATGGTCTATCTCATAGTTGGCCACAGTAATCCATATGGGGACCCCCAAAGAGGAGCTGGTTAGTGATTTTCGCCTGGAAAACTTGGACAGCAACAGAGACATATTGATGTCCAATATGGAAATGGAAATGGACTAATGTAGGAAACTGATTCATAGGCAAAGAATCTGCCACCTTACGATGGTAAGAACAGTTTAATTTGTAATGAAACAATAAACCTAAATATCGAAAAGATTTTACTTGTTCTATTGGCTTCCCATTTATTTTCCAGCTGGTACATTTCCAAGATTTGGAAACTGTCAGGATCTTTGATTTATCAGTGTTGATGGTTAGATCATTCTTGGAGCAGAAATCAGCAAAAGCTGAGAGTAATTCTATAAGACCTGACTTAGTGGTAGATAAGAGAACAGTATCATCAGTATACAATAGCAATGGAACAGAATATGAGTTCATCCTAGGAGCATGATGTTCAATTATGGCAATATGGTCTGGTAGATCTGGCATGAATAAATTAAAAAGAGCAGGAGCAAGGACACAAGCTTGTTTAATTCCATTAAAGATTGAGATATCTTTGGTCAGAAGACTTTTATTATTGATCCGAACTTGGCAACTATTGTCAGAGTGAACTTTATGTACCAAGAACAGCAGATGAGGGTCTATTCCTTTGCTGGCCAGTTTATTCCAGAGCAGAGATTGATTGATGGAGTCAAACGCTCCTCGAAGGTCAATAAAAGCAACAAAAAGCTTGCCATAGATAATATTTCTCAGCTAGAAAAACGAAAGTGAGTGAGTTTTCGAGCATTGAGGATCCCACTCAGGAGCCCACCTGTTCCTTACCAGGCAGGTTAAGATCAGTCATCCATTCTAAGAGATGTTTTGCTTGATGCTTAGCATATATTTTACCAAGTATTGAAAGTAAGCTAATAGGGTGGTAATTAGCTGGTATACTTGGATTGCCCTTTTAAAACACTGGAATAATGATAGATGTTAAACAGGAATCAAGAAAAATACCAAAATGGTCAATTAGAGTGAAAAGATGACACAGAGGTTTCACCCACCAGTGCAGATTGTTTTTAATTAAATCAGCCGGGATTCATCTGGACCCGGAGCCTTTCCTATTCTAGGGAGGCAATAAGTTCTAAGATCTCCTGTTCAGAGACTGGGGGCCAAGGAGGGACATCACAAGAAATTTGCCCAGCGAACTGAGTTGCCAGTATGTGTAAATTACTAGTTGCAAGTTTAAAGTATGGAGGAGAATCATAAGATATGTTTAATGTTGTGCAATCTTGTTTCCAAAAGGCAACAGTCTTTTACTGTAAATAATTTTGCAACAGAGCATGCTAAACCTGGTGCTTTTGGTATGGTTGTGTGACCACCATCAAGATTTGGGGGGAGCCCTCAGGGGTGTGTGTCTCCTTGGCTATAGGCTCCATGAACTCCAAACCCTTGTTATAGAACTGTTTTTTATTTGGATAAGGGAACAAGGTACAAATTTTATTTGGACAGCTGGTCCTCCCTGTCCTGACAGTCTTTAGGGGACTTAGTTAACTCCACTAGTTCCTGACTGCCTTCAGCCCTAGTTCTATTAATTGGCCTCCTGCATCTCCAGAACAGGGGCATGTGTCTAGTTCTCAACACTTAGCCCAGCTAATGGGTGGCCTTTATGAAGGACTGGAAGTGCAAGGCCAATGGAGGTCCCTGAGTCCCAACAGTTTGTCCTGCCTCTGGAGGATCTGTAATCGGTGCTCATTGTGGCACTTTCTCCATCAGCACTGCCTAACCCAGGTTAGGAAGGGCCCAGAGGCTTAGGACTTGACTGAGTGTCTGTGCTATCATTATGAAGTCCAGGATTAGGTGATGACCAGTGCACTCCTCTCACATACTTCACCTGTCAAAAAACAGTCTATATAAATGGAAAACCCCCTCCCATAGAAGTTGGGATAAAATTTAGTTACACACTAGATAATCAACCAAGCAAGCACATCCAAATCACAAAATGTAAGTCATTACCAAATGTAAAATGTCACAATAATTATTAACTCATTACTGTATGTTGTTTCCTCCGGGGTTCCTTTGGCCACTAACCATTGTTGCTGTTCATGGAACAAAGTTTCAAAGGGAAAGAACTGAATATCAAACAAGAGTCTTAATTTTATTAAGTGTGAAAGGCTACATTTACTCACACAATTTGCAACTTCTTATTTGATTACCAAATGTAAAATGTCACAATAATTATTAACTCATTACTGTATGTTGTTTCCTCCGGGGTTCCTTTGGCCACTAACCATTGTTGCTGTTCATGGAACAAAGTTTCAAAGGGAAAGAACTGAATATCAAACAAGAGTCTTAATTTTATTAAGTGTGAAAGGCTACATTTACTCACACAATTTGCAACTTCTTATTTGGGGGCCATG